AGCGGCCCTGCTGCTGGGCCCCCTTCACTCGTCCCTCCTACTTCTAGAAAGGGTTAGAGCTAGTTTACAAAATTGTGCAGACTCTACACCGTGACCACAGGAAATAGAAAGGCCCCCGTCCTCATTCTCACCATTTCTTTTCCTGGCACTGAGTTCCACAGGAGTGGGTTTGAGTTCTTACACACAGGCGTGCATTAACCACAGTCCTGGAAATTACAGAAACATTCATTTATTTTGCAGTTTCTTGTAGACAACACACTGGGGGATAGCATTCCATCTGAGAGGTGGTTGAGATTCATTACTTATAACAGCCTGATGTAACAAGTCGCTGAGCTCAGAGAATCTCCTCTTTGGGGCCCCTCCAGCGTTTGAATCCCTGGAGTTCAGGGCCCTGCTTCCCCAGGAGGCTTGAGGCCTAGAAGGAAGAGTGTGTGGGGTCAAGGGTTCTGACGGGACAGGGCTGCGCTGCCCGGAGTCCCAGTGCTTTGCTACGTAAGAAAAAGGTATATTTTGTACCTAAAACAGTAAACATTGTCCCCACCTCAAGTGTTCTATGATAGTCCCAGAAGGTGGCCTCCCCTGTGGTCCTCAGCTCTCCAACCCCTCACTGCTGAGATTCCTCTCAGGTGGGGGCTGCTTCCCACGGCAGCGGGCCTCCTGTGTGCTTCAGTGAGGAGGTAGGGGAGAGCCATCTAGGGACAAAAGAAAGGGAAGCCGCAGAGGCCCGAAACGAACAGATTTGCTGGAGATGGGCTTGGAAATATTTGCTAAAGCTCCAGAGCTAGGAATGCAGGGAGAGCTCACACTGTTCGCTGGGCGCAGGTCCAACGACGCGCTCTGTTGTCTCAGTCCGCGCTAACATGTGGCTTGTGTTTTTCTCGCTTTAGGGAGTTGGAAAAGCAAAGGGAAAGCACAGCCACCGACATTCTGCAGAAGAAACAAGAGGCAGAAGCGGCTGTAAGTGCTGCGCAGGCGCGTCCCCGAAGGCCTTCTGCTCTGGGTGACTCGGCTGCACGCCTCTCACCGGGGCTCGGGGATCACGGTGCCCTCTGCGCGTGGGCCTCGGGGGCCGGCAGCTTCACTGGTCATTTCACTCTTTCTAATCCCTGCGGGATACAATACCGGGACCTCCAGGCCCGGTCCTGAAGATGAGATGCAGTTACCCTCGAAATGCATAACAAGGTGTTTCTAAGAACCGGAGGGCCCTGTCTGTCCTCTTTTTCTTCCCTTTGAGTGAACTGTTGTTAGGTGACAGAACAGAAATATCTGGCATAAATGCAGGGGTACCACTGGGTTCTTTGTGAACAGAGGGGCGAAAATGCGGCCATGCTCATGCTACAGCTGAACCCAGAGGCAGAGCCCAGGAGGGACCCTGACAGTGGCCCTCCTTGTTTTTTGCAGGTTCGGTTGATGCAGGAATCTGTCCGAAGAATAATTGAGGCGGAAGAGTCCAGAATGGGTGAGAAGGCCTGGCCTCTCTCGGGGCGGAGTGGGCGCTGGGGGTCTCAAAGGGGCACGGCGCTCCTGCGGCCCGGCTGTGAGAGACCCGCCTCTGCTCAGACTGCGTCCATCCTCAGGGCTCATCATCGTCAACGCCTGGTACGGGAAGTTCGTCAACGACAAGAGCAGGAAGAGCGAGAAGGTGAAGGTGATTGATGTGACCGTGCCCCTGCAGTGCCTGGTGAAGGACTCGAAGCTCATCCTCACGGAGGCCTCCAAGGTACGGGGCCTGCCCGCGGGGTTCAGACACGAAAGGCCTGTGTGGAGGGGGGCGGCCTGGCACCTTGGCATGGCCATTTCGTTGCGGTGGAACCGTTCGTGTCGCTGGCACTGGCTTGGCCTGCTGCCCAGCACCCAAATTATAGTCACACTGGAGCTGTTCACGTCACCCGTCCCCGCAGCAAGGATTTCCTGAGCACCTACTGTGTGCCAGGTAGGGCAGCGAACAAAACAGGCATCCTGTCTTCACGGAGCTTACGTTCTCCTCATTCCTTGCCTTGTTCTAGAAAGAGTGTGAGTCTGTAGCACGTTGGAAGCTCATGCTGGAGCGCAGGGGTGGGGACGGTAAAGGCAAACTAAAATGCAGATCAGCTCAGGCCAAACACCTCGCTCTCTCAGGAGTCCTGGCGGGGCTTCTGTGAAGACAGGGGTCTCTAACGTGGGAGAAGGGGTCTGTATTGCGAGGGAAGCCTAGGGCTAAACAGGCAACTTTCTGACAATCTCAGCTCCGCGGTGTGCATCTTCCGTGGACGGCTCCTGAGGGAAGGTCAAGGCCCTTCCACGCTGATCCTCAGGTGGCGGCAGACAGCAGTGGTGCTGGGCTTGAAACAACGGTCTCGGGTCCCATGGAGTAAGACTGTGTTTGTTACAGGCGGGGCTGCCCGGCTTCTACGACCCGTGCGTGGGTGAGGAGAAGAACCTGAAAGTGCTTTACCAGTTCCGAGGCGTCCTGCACCAGGTGATGGCGCTGGACAACGAGGCGCTTAGGATACCAAAGCAGTGTGAGTAGCTGCCCCTTTGCAGTCGCCTGCCCTGTGCACGGACCAGGGGGAGGCCCCCAACCACTGATGGGGACCGGGGACACCAGAGTGTGGAGTGACAGCCAGCTTCCCCGTGTTACCCGCCTGGGAGCGAGTGACTTGCTCAGAGCCCGTGATGGGATGCCCTGAGGAGGGGTGGTGGCCGCCCTTCCCAGGTGGGACTCCAGTGAGCTCTTTGCTTGGAAACTGCAGCTTGGGTGGCTGGGCCAGAAGCACACCCAGCTGCTCCTGTATGTTCCAGAACCATTTGAATCTCCGCAGCTTGTATTCTGCCTCTGGTCAGGTGATGGCTGAACCCCTTCGGTGGAAGAGGGCATGGAAACAGTTGCCTTTTGATACATTCAGTTTGTCTTGTCTTTCACAGCTCACAGGATCGATACAGATGGATAAACTGCTTGAGAAACCAGATTTACAAGAGGCTGCAAAAAATCCTTTCCTAGGAGTCTACAAATTCAGAAGCAGGGAAAAAACCCAGACATCAGATGTGTTTATTTTATATTATTCCTAAAGAAGGTGGTACCGTATCAATTATGTGGAGGGACACACAGACACCCCGCTTTCATGGGTGCTGTAAGTAGGACTGAGGTAGCCCCACCTGGACCAGAACCGCGGCACGGCCTGTGGCCATTTTCCCAAGGATCATGTCCCTGGAGGGAAGGGCCCTGGGCCCCGGCCCCCTAGGCTCCTGAGCCCCGCGTGCCGACTGCAGCCACCCAGTAGCGCTCGGTCTTGAGGTATTTATGGAACATCCTGCCCTCACACATAGGACTGTGAACTACTTTTCCTAAAATCCACACTGAGCATGGAAAACAAAATGGAAAGGAAGGAAGTTGTTCTCGTGAGCAGAGGTCTCCAGAACAAGTGAGCGTCTGTTAGTCAACTTCCCAAAAACCACTTTTTCCTGCTGAAATATTATTCAGTGAAGCTGGAGAGGATTGTGTGGGTTTATAAATCTGCTTTTTATCTGAGAACGAATGGTTTTGGAAATTAATGTCTTCCCCCCCCTCCCCCCCCCCCCCAGAACTTCTGGAATCATTCCACTGGCACGTGGCTTGGGACAGAGTGGTATAATCCCCCGGTCCCAGGGCCCAGCCCTGTCACCGGTCACTTCCTCCCAGGGGCCACCTGTGTCCTTGTGGCAGAAGGCAGATGCGAGCTAAGCCATGTCCCTCGCAGCCCGCCCCCATGGCTCAGCCTGACCTGCCTCTGCCGCCCTCTCCCCCCCCCCCCCCCCGACACTGGAGCTCAGGAACGGAGGGAGGCTTGGAGGAGAGGGCAAGCATGGGCCGGGGACTGAAAGGACCCTGGCTCCGGTTCCTGCCAAATCCCCCCCATGCTGGGAGAGCAAGGCCAGCCGGAGCCTCGCTTGCTCTCTCGTGCGCGGCCAGCAGGTGGCGCAGCTGCTCCCACGCCTCCTCCCGCCGCACTCCCTCCTCAGGGGGGACTGGTGGCGGCTCCCAAGCCCCTCTTCCTTCACTTGCCTCTTCTGTGGATGCAGAACATTTTAGAAGCCAGGAGGCCCTGACTGGTGGTGGTTCTGACAGCGCCCCACCCCCCAGCCCCGCAGCTACTGCTAAAATCAGGCTCTGCGGTGGTACCGGAGTAATTGCTGATACCCCCTTCCTCCAGTTTTCAAAAACAGTTCAGGTCGTCCAGTTCTGGAATATTTATCTCCATTTGATAAAGTTTTTCTCTGAGCTGCAGCTCTGAATGTAAATCGTGCAATAAGGTGGCGTGAACTCTGACTTTGGACGCGGCCGTTCGTTCCCTCCACGGCAGGTGGCTCTTTGGGCCCCGATTCTCTTCATTTTGTCTGAAACGGACTGTACAGAAGGCGCTCTCTTACCACAATAAACCTTTCCTGAAAACTGGGGATAGTGTTTCAGTGCATCCGTATGTGCGTTTTCAGGGGTGAGCAAAATACCTAAGTGATAAGAGCCCCCCCTCCTCACACCCTCATTCCATCCTCTGGCCGTCACTGTCGAAGCCCCATTTTTAACCATGAGGCTGAACTGGAAGCCGTGGTTCAGTTTTCCACATTAGACCTCTGCCTGAGAAACAGGAGTCCAGAGTCAGGAGATGACTTAGGCTAGGATCCTTGTTTTCCTGGAGGTCGTGTGGTGTGGTTTGGTTTGGTTTGGTTTGGTTTGGTCTGAGTGTTCCCAGATCCAAAAAAATCACCTCAGGTTTTTCGGAAACCTTCGGACACATCTTAACCAAGGGCTGCATAAAATGGAGCTGAAGCCCAGAGGCGCAGACGCCTAGTTCCCGGGGAACAGAATCCTCACCGACTGCATTTTCTGCTTTACGCCTTTTGTCATGAAAGTGAAAATCCTCCTCCGATTTCCTTGGGTTAGCGAAAGCAGGTACTACTGCAGGTCTTTTGTAAAAGCAAATGGTGTAACAAACTCCGAGAAACACAGGACCCCTGTCCGAGTTTATAAATAAAGGAGGAAAACCTGCAGCGTAGGAAGACACTTTATTCTGTCCATCACTCACCCCAGGCCCCGGGGAGGCCCGCCTCAGAACAGAGGCCAGTCTCAGCCACTGCGCCGTCACCCCCTCTTGTGTCCTTCCCTGGGCCCCGCCGCCCCTCGGGGAAACGCACTCCACCCCCATCGGCTCAGGACGCCTCCTCACGCTGTGGTGCTGAAGACCCCCGCCCAGCTTTCGTTGGAAGGACAGTTGGGCCCCGTCCCCTCCGGGAGGACCGAGTCTGTCCTGCCCACGGTCCCGCTCCTGTCCCGGGCCGATGCGGCTACACCTCCCCTGAGGTGGCTGGTGGTGGGCCTGGCCTGCCTCACTGTCGCTTCAGGGGCCACGGCCCGAGCCCCAGAGGCGCTGACAGGGAAGCCTGGCCGCCCAGCTCGGCTCTGCGGTCGCGGCTGCCCCGCTCTGTGGGCGCGGAGGCGGCCGGACATCCTCTGCATCACCAGCCTCTGGGCCTTCAGGCGCTTCCGGAGCTTTTCATTTTCCTTCAGGGTCAGGAAGAGTTTTGTTTTTAGGGCATCTAGGTCCAGAAGGGCGTAGCTGTGGTCGGACGGCTGTGTGGGGCTGGCCGGCTGACCGGGGGCCGGGGTTCCCTGCGGTCTCTGCGGCAAGCCCTGAGGACAGAGGCGCGTGAAGGCGGAGGCGAGCCCGGGCCCAGCAGAGCTGCCACCGCGGGACAGCGACAGGCGGGGGCCGTGGGAGGCCCGGCGCAGACTCCGCACAGTGCTCCTGAGATCCGGGCCGCGGGCCAGGGCGCTCGTGGCCTGGGCACCAGTTTGCCTCGCTCCGTCGGAAGCGAATCCCCGTGTGCAAACACCGACCAACCACCTGCTGCCTTCGGCCCCAGGCCCCGGGCCTTACCTGTTCCGTGGCGCCGCCAGCGCTCGGGGGCAGCGCTTCGAGGGCACCAGCGGTCCTTCTCCCCGGGCCGCACGCTGCCGGCCCCGCCTCAGGCACGACCTGGGGACAGCAGGGCAGAAGTGGGCAGCCCACCGGGAACCCTTGCCGCTCTCCCGGCGGGGGCCGCGGCCAGGCACCAGCAGAAACCAACAGGCTCCCCGCCCCCGGGCCTGGGATCAGACCTCAGGAAGCGGGCCCGAGCCAGCCCTCCAGGCAACTTGGGCTGCCTGGTATCGAACAGGGAGGAAAGCACAGAATCCTGAACCCTGGTTCGTGAGGAGAGCATGACAAAGCCGTGCAGGCCGGGGGTCGGGGGGGGCACGTGCACCCCCCGGCATCTGCGCCGAGGCCTCGGTCCTGACTCGGGGCGTGCCAGAGCACTCACCTCCTCCTTGCGAGAGTCCACGTGTGCACCCCCGCCGGCCGGGTCCGCGTTCTGCCTCACCAGCTGCAAGACACACAGCACTGTCCACAGGCTCCCCGGGGGTGCAGGTCACCCCGAGAACCGGCCACCACCCACTGGCTCACTCTCCCCAAAGCTGTCCCCAGATCTTAGGTCAGAGGCCCAGGAACAGGCCCCGTGAAGCCAGGGACCTGATTCCTACGTGTCCCCCAGGGCCTGACATTCTAGGCACATAGGAGGGGACTCAAATTTGACTCAAGGCGCGGCAGCCACCTAGGAGAGAACATCCGACTCAGGGCCTGCTGCCATTCCCCGGGCATCCCCGGAGCCGAGCCCCCAGCCACGGGGCCGGAACCAGCGGCCCCTACCCCTAGCTCTTGGCGCCGGGCACCGACAGCCCCCCAAGTTGTTAAACTAAACTCACTTCACATCTCACCACAAATGCATGAGAAGTGCTCGAGCTCCACTCGCAACCCGCACTGACGGAGGAGGGGACTGGTCAGAGGGCAGCGTCAGGCCATCAGGACGATGAGGTTCCAGACCCCGCCGCCCTGCCCCGTGCCCGTAGTTGACAGCACGTACCGTACACTCGGCAGTTGGTCAAGAGGCTAGATCTCACGTTACGTGCTCTGACCGCAATAAAAATCAAATACGTATCACCTGAAAACAAAAGGCCTTCCACGTCGGCGACAACGAAACCTCCTCGGCGTCGGGAGTAAAGCTGTGAAACAAACCCCTGCCCTCAGGGAGCCGACCAGAGAGAGAAGCTGAGTCAGAGCAAACGCACGTGTGCCACCCCCCCCCCCCCCGCTGCGGAGCCGCAAGGAGCCGGCCCGACGGGAAGCCAGGCGAGCGGGGGGACAATGGACAGCGGTCGGGGGGCCCTCCTCCAGGGGACGGGAACATGGACTTGGACAGGAGGCCACGAGCCTGCAGACGGGCACAAAGTTCGGACGGAGGGCAGGCGCCCCGACGCGGGGCCTGCTGGGCACATGCGCTCAGGCTTCCTCACCCCTGTAACCGCCTCCCCTCTCACTGCCAGTACCATCGGCCCCCACGGGTACCGGCTGGCCTTGCGCGCCCAGGGTGACGCCCGCACTCTGCGACTCAGTACACCTCTGGGACTTAGGAAATTCAAGATAATCCCCCTCAGGGCCTCCACGTCCAGCAGCCCGGGAGCTCTCCCCCGAGCCGCCCCACAGGAGCCACGGCCACTCCAATGGCCCGCTGGGAAATCAAACTCCAGATGCACAGGGCCAAACTCAGAGAATCAGGGCACCCCGTCCCCCGGGGGCTCAGCGGGCTCGGCCCTTGCCGGCCGCCACCCTCTCAGCCCACCGGGCCTGCAAAGGCCACCCGCTCTCGCGACCACACCCCCCTTCAGCTCAGGCCAACACGACGGCACACGCGACACCAGGGGCTCCAGCCGCAGGGAGCCTTCTCCCCTCACCCGACAAACCGTGGCCCCTGCCACCCTCCAACCAGCCAGAGCTGACGCTGTCGGCGAGCGGGCCCAAACCCCTTCCAGCTCCAAGTCTGGGCCCCGCGGCCCCCCGACCTCCCTCCAGCTCTCCCCCTGCAGCAGCCTTCCCTGCGCGGCCCAGAGCTCTCAGCCAGCGCGCCACCTGCTGCGTGGGAGCGGCACGGTGTCCGGCTTCCTGACCACAGCTCCCGGCCCCCGCTGCCTACTCGGAAGAAAAAGACAAGGTCTGAATGCAACACAGCCACCACCGGCCACTGGGAAGGTCTTCACTGTACGGCCTCAAGCCACGGGACGCCCAGCAAATGAAATGCATGTAGGCGCCTGGAGGGCTCAGTCAGTGAGGCGTCTGCCTTCGGCTCAGGTCATGATGCCAGGGTCCTGGGATCGAGTCCCGCGTCGGGCTCCCTGCTCAGTGGGGAGCCTGCCTCTCCCTCTGCCTGACGCTCCCCCTGCCTGTGCTCTAATAAATAAATAAAATCTTTAAAAAAAAAAAATGAAATGCATAGAGGACCAAGCTTTTGGTGCACTTGCCAGTCAGCTGCTTCAGCAGCTTCTGGTTGTAGGGCGTGATTTGGGGGGGCGGGGTGGGGGGAAGAGGGAGAGAGAGAGAAAGAGAGAGAATCCTCCATCAGGCTCCACACTCAGCACAGAGCCTGACCCGGGGCTCGATCCCACGACTCTGAGATCATGACCTGAGCCGAAACCAAGAGCCAGGCACTTAACCAACGAACTGAACCACCCAGGTGCCCCATGCGTGATCTATTTTTAAAGGGGCTTTATTTTTTTAATTTTTTTTAAATATTTTATTTATTTATTTGACAAAGAGAGCACAAGCAGGGGAGTGGCAGGCAGAGGGAGAAGCAGACTTCCCGCGGAGCAGGGAGCCCGACGCAGGGCTCGATCCCAGGACCCGGGGATCAGGACCTGAGCCGAAGGCAGACGCTTAACGACTGAGCCACCCAGGGGCCCCTAAAGGGGCTTTAAATTGCAAATGACCTACAGCAAAGGTCATGGCCAGCAGGGCAGCTGGGCTCTGAACCCCGGGGGGCTGCCCTCACCGCACTTCTCAGCCTGCAAACACCACGCCCGCCCCAGCTGCTGGCTACACCCCTGCAGGCTGGAGCTGAAGACATTACAGGTGGTGCCGTGTTCACCTGCGCGGCATCCTGAAAGGCGAACACCGTGGGCACGGCATTCTGCTTCAGGTTTTTGCGGTTTCCAAAGGCGCTGAAGCACTCGGGTCGGAAGTGCTCGGAGCAGATGACCGTGTGCTGCTTGGGCTTGAAGTTGCCCCGGCCGATGTTCAGCACCCATTCCTTCAGCAGCTCTGGGCGGCTGAACGGGAACCTAGGAGGCAAGGGAGACATGAAGGAATTTGCGAGGCTCACGTTGGCACGGCAGAGTTGTGTGGAATTTTGAAAACACCACATGGCATTTTACTGGACACCTTGGAAAATTCAGTGACCTCGCTCTGTTAAACCACATCCAATTTCTGGAAGCTTCTGTCATGCCTGTTTACAGCATTCTCAGTAGGCAATGTGGGGCCACAAACGTGGCCAGAAAACCTTCCGAAGGTACACTTGCAGGGTAAGCCTGTTAGTGCCTTGGGGAGTCTGCCGTGTGCAGGCCCTGCCCCTGGCTCTGGGAAGTAGGAACGAATAAGTCTCACCCTCATAGAGCCTACACTCTGGGTGTAGAACAGGAAAACAGACAGTAAACCAAACAGACATAGACTGCGTAGCAATCAAGTAGGAAGTGGTCAAGAAGGCCTCCTGAGAGGTGACATCTGAGCAGAAGCCGCAGGAAGGACAGCGAGCCATGTGCGTATCAGAAGGAAGAGCAAGTGCCAAGGCACTGTGACAGGGGCCCCCAGCATGTCGGGGTCGTGGTCAGAGGCGGGTTTGGCTGAGAGGGTGGGAGCAAGAGCAGGGGTGAGGACCTCAGGAGGCAGGCCTCGGGCAGGTGGGCAGTCCCTGGAAGCTCTGGGCCGAGGGTGAGAGAGGAGGGTGGGCACCTGGTGGCTGCGCCCCGGGTGTCAGCGGAGGGGTCATGAGCAGGCAGACCTGGGATGTATTTCGAAAGCTGGTGCAATAAGGTTTGCTTGTGAGCCGCAAAATAAAGAGAAGGAAGGAGTTTCGTGTATTAAGATGGGAGGGGAGGTACTGTAGGAGGGGCAGGCCTGGGGGATCAGAATTTAGGTTCTGTTTGTTAAATCTGAAGTGCCTTTTACATGACCAAGTGCTGAAGTGCAGCAGCAAGGGACACGTGTCAGGAGACGTCAGCGTGGGGACCATCCCTGTGTAAAGGGTGGTGAAGCCTGGGGGAAACTGGAGCCCTGGGGAGTGAGTGTGGATGGGGAGGACACAAGGCCATGGCCCTCCCCCAAAGGGCTCCAAGGCTAGCGCTGGAAAGGGGGAGGATCCGGCAAAGGAGTCCGAGAAGGGACACTGTGACAGAGGAAGAGGTCAAAGGGGGGCCCTAGAAGCCAAGTGGGAGAGAGTCACAAGAGGTCAGTGGTCGGCTGTGCCAAATGCTGCAGAGAGGTTGCTTCGGATGAGGATGGACCAGCACTGAGCAGGGCCACCGGGGACTTGGCAGAGCTCCTCTGCAGGAGTGGCGGGGGCCAGAGTCCGACTGGAATGAATTCCAGAGGTAGCCAGAGGCAATTCCACTCCTGGGATGTGCCCAACGGAAGCGAAGAGAGACACATGCACAGGAAGACTTGTCCCAGCAAAACTGTCCCCAGTCCTGTGCTTGTGATGGCCAAGATACGGGGGCCCCCAAATGCCCTTTAATTGTAGAACAAGTCAGTTCTGGTATATTCATTCAGCGGAGCACCTCGAGAGATGGGGAGGAAGGACGCCCAGGTGACTCACAGCCGTGAGTAGAAGACACAAGGAAAGCACCATGGTGCTGGACTCCGCGTGCCAAGTTCAACACAGGCCAAAGCGCCCCACTCTGACTGACAGAAGGTAGGATCCGGTCGCCCTTGGGGATGAGAGGGGACAAGGGGCTGGAAGGGGGTGCAGCGGGGGGCTCCCTAGGGGCTGGTGATGTTCGGATCCGCAGCAGTCACACAAGTGTTCGCTTTGCGGAATGGGTTGGGCTGTGGACTTAACAATTTGTGTGCTTTTCTGTAGGTCTTATTACTTCAATAAAGACATTCACTTTGAGAAGGAAGATGGTGATGGGAGGGGCAGTGGAGACAGAGAGTGCAGCTGGCCTCGGGGGTCGTGCTCTAAGGGGCAGTGGCTGGAACCTGAGCTCTCCGGGGCAGGGACCCAGTACCCATCAGGGCCGACACTGGGAGCCCTGGGAGCGTGACGACAGACTCCAAAACCTCCCGCCAAGTCGGCGCGGCCGGCCCCACTCTCCCGACACCCTGGACCGTTCTCGCTCCTCCACTCCCCCACTTGCTTCCTGACAGGAGGCCAGGCCAGGGACAAGCCGAGTGGCCAGCGCATGGCAGGCACACCGACGGGCGTCACCGTCGCTCGTTCATTCGGAAATGCATTCAGCCAGTAGGTACTGAGCACCTGCTACGTTCCAGGCTGCATCTGTGAACAAGATCAAGTCCGGGGGTGGGGGGCGAAACCCCCAGAACTGCAGCGAGTGCTAGGGGCTGCGGGGCGCGGCCCACCCCGGCCTCCTCCACACGCCACCGCCCCGACCGACCGCCGGGAAGGCTGTGCGCCTTCAGCAGGTTGCTCAGCCTCTCCGACAGTCTCCCCACGCGCCCGGCCGCCGGTC